CTGCCGGGAGGGGGCGTAGGAGAAGGCCCCAGGCGCACCCAGTTGTACACCGGCTTGGGCGCGCCCTCGGATGAGCTGCATCGCAGCGCCGCAGCGCCTCCCACGGCGAAGAGCCCGCTCTGGCTGCATAAGGGGGTGCTGGGGGGCACTGAGAGAAGCACAGAAAGCACCCACAATCCTTCGTCTCATCCCAGGAAGTGCTAGATCTCCTGTGTGGATCCCCCTACCAAAGACAGTGGTCCACTGCCACTCACAGCCCCGTGTCCCCAGGAATCAGTGCGACTGGGAGTTCACGGCAAGCCGAAGTGTTAGTGTGATGTCCACTTGCTGTTCCCGTTCCCGCCTGCCAGACACACACGGCAGCCCTCAGTGTGTGACGCAGCATCTGCCCCCTGTCCTGCAGCTTCTCATCCACCCAAACATCCCCGCCTCTCCGAGCCTTCTAGCTGCTGCTCTGGGCAGCTCCGTCAGTATGAAAATGGGGCCCTTTCCTTTAATGGCCGCTCCTGACCTAGAAGAGACGGAATGGAACGAGGCTCCCCTGGGCATGGCAGGGAGCTGGACAGAGCTGGGGCAGGGAGTGACTCAGATCTGTGGGAAGGGCTTCCTCTCTCAGACCCTTTGTTGCCAGGCCCCAGGGAGGGGACGCTGTGGAGGGTGGAGCCAGGTCCCAGAGATGTTTCCCCTGGGCTCCAGGGGCGCTGAGCATTTCGGCTGAAGTGGGGACACCCAGGCAGTGTAGCAGGCCCCTCACCCAGCACGGTGAAGTTGATCAGCCCCAGCCCATTGGTGTAGAAATCGGGTGGGTTGTTCACTTGGCAGAGGTAGGTTCCGGTATCTGAAGGGTGAACGTCGGTCAGCGTCAGGGTGGCCACCCCCCCAGTGGGGGGGTTCTGAAGCAGGCTGGCCCTCCTCGCCTTCGAGCCAGTGGGGTACAGATGGCCATTGGTGAAATACAGGATCTGGGGAGGGTGGGAGACACACTCTGGGCCTGGCATCAAACCTGGTCCCCGCCTGAAGAGCAGGTGTGAGAGGCCACTGCCACCCAGGTGGAACCAGGAACGGCTCTCGGTGCCGAACCCAGCCGCACCCAGCACTGAGAGCCTGAGGCGCTGACTGCCCCCCACTGAGCACAGGGTCTGTGGGGAGATGTGACAGTTTTCCATCTCGACATCTTGGTGTCACTGGGGTCATACGGAAGTGGGGGCTGCACTGACCGCAGGGAGTCGGACTCAGAGCTACAGAAAAGGGAAGGGTGATAGGTCACCACAGACTGCAGCCCCAGGGAACAGGAAGCACCCCCAGCTTTGCATCCAAACTTGCTGGTCCTCAGACCACCCTCCTCGCCTCGCCTCTCGGCCCCTGGGTCCTCTGTCCCTGCCTCTCCCCCGGCAGGTGCCTTCAGCTCACCGGATGGGCTGCAGAGACGGGGGTCCCGGGCGGTGCGAAGCTCCACTCCAGGGCGAAGCTGTCTCCCACGGACGTGCTGTAGCTGCAGGTTAGCTCAGCTGTCCTGCCCACCGGTGTGCTCAGTGGCTCAGCGGGGACCTTGACCTCCACAGCTAGCCCCAGGGCTGTGGGCAGAGGCAGGCCATGGCCCTACCCAGGTAGCCCCCCACCAGCAGCCCAGAGTACACCCTCTCCCTTAAGCCAGCTTCTCCCTTCTTAAAACCTGAGGTTTCAGGGAGGGTGGGGGCCACTGCCTGGTTGGTTTTGTGGGTAAAATGACAAGACCAGGTGAGGCACAGGGTGTGTTTGGCAGGAAAGGAAAACCATGGCCCCACGGGCACCCCCCCTCGCACTCACTGTGGAGTCGGCCCCCACATGCTGCACTTTGCAGGTCCCCTCCCCTCTCTGCCCCAGCCTGGCCCCTCACCTCTTAGGCATGCCAGGCCCAGCAGTGCCTGGCAGAGGAAGGGCCACAGCAGCTGGGTCATGGCGTGTTCTGTCTCCTGCTGTGGGCTCTGGGTGCTGGGGCTGAGAGGAAGCACCAGGGCCTTCCTGGTACGGGCAGCACTGGGCAGACTGGTTATCACAGAGCAAACGGAGCAGAGCCCTCCCTGCAGCCCGGCCCAGAACCTTGGGCAGGCTCCTTCCGCCTGCCCCCAAGGCCTACGGCTCTGCTGGGCTGGGCGTGGGCTCCAAGGGGAGGCTCACCCAGGGGGCCTGGAGGAGACGGTCAGCTCTGGATGGAGAGGGTCATTGTGCTGGCAGTGGGAACAACATGGCCCTCCGCAAGAGCTCAAGCCAGACCCTGGCCCTTTGGAGATTCTTGTTGCTTATTCTTTAAGCTTACGTGTTTATTTCTTCAGAGACACAGGCACCTCTGGCAAGGTCTTCACTCGTGACCCACCAGCCCGGACCACCGTGCCCAGGCACAGTGGGGAGGAAGCTTCCATGGAACACTCAGGCCTCCCACTCCCAAACCCTGTACACCTCATGGGCAGAGAAACAGGAGCCCACCCTCCGCAGGAAAGGGTGTGACCGGGTGGTGCTCGTCCCCTGTCCGTACCCGGGGGAGGCTTTGGTGGGGCAGGAATGTGTGTGGGCAAAGACGGGCTGGGTGCCCACTCGGGCCAAGCTCTCTTTTGTCCTGCACACGTAGCTGTGCCCTGGCCACCCAGGCTGCCCAGGGGATGAGGGTCCCCTCCGCTCTGGCTTCTTGTGCCTCCCCACCACAGGGCAGCAGACGGCCTCCTGGAAAACTCTAGAAGAGCGTTCATCTGGAGAGGGCCGCTCCCGGCAGTCCAACATCAGCCAACTCCTTGTTTGAAAAGGTTTAATTCTTGTTCCATATAAACACAATGCATATTTATTGGCATTTGTAAAATGAGGACAAAAACACGTACTTCACGTTAGTTTTAAACTATCTTCCTTATCTCCTGCCCCAGCAGACCCAACCAAGCCAGCAGGGCAGGTGTGTTGACGCAGGAGGAGGTGGTACAGGTCACCCCGAGGCACCCGGGGGACAACTGGCTGCTTCCCGGGGAGTAGCAGAGGTGGCACCCCTCCGCATCTCAGCCCCTCCTTCGGCTCCTGGACAGTTAGGTCTTCCTGAGTCTTCCCAGAGTGACATGTGGGGCAGAGGACTGGAGGGCAGAGTGGCTGGGGCAGGACTCAGCCCTGTGCGGGTGACCGTTGCAGGCCACCTGGTTGGGCCAGTACGTGGCCAGACCTCACACCAGAGACCCAGCCTGGCTCTGGGCGGGAACCATCAGGGGCGTAGCACCCATGCGGCTCAGGGCAGAGGGGGACACCCCACCGGGGCCCGGGGACGCTGGCCGCGGGTGGGCCCCATTTGTCCTGGACGGTCGTGGTGAAGGAAGGGCCTGGCTGGAAAGACTGGGTGTGGGGGTCAGGGCACCAGGCCTGAGAGGACCAGGGGGGGGCCGGAGGGCACGTGCTGAGGTGACCGAGGACAGAGTCCCATTCTTGGAGACTGTGTCTGAGCCCTTGGGCCAGGGCAGGGTCCGGGGAGCGACGGCATCCTCCCTGGGGGTCAGAGAAGTGGTCAGGGGTCAGGGGAGAGGGCAGGAGAGAAGAGCTTCTGAGCTGCCCACCGCCTCCCCCCAGCCCTGGGACCCCCTCCAGCTATTCCTGCAGGAGGTCGCTGCCCCCCACCTCTCCTGACCCTGGGACCCCTCCAGCTACGCCTGCAGGAGGCCACTGTCCCTGCCCCTCCCCCCAGGGGCCTGGGACCCCCTCCAGCTACTCCGGCTGGAGGCCACTGGCCCCGCCCTGGCAGCAGAGACCCTTACTTGATGTCATTGGCCGGCTCCTCCAGGGCCTTGCCGCTGCGTTGGTACAGGAGGACTAGCCCAGCCAGCAGCCCAAGCCCGACCAGTGTGCCCACGACTGCGCCGGCCACCACAGAAGCCCCGGGCCCTGGGAAGAGTGTGGTGTCAGGCAGCCGCCAGCTGTCCTGGCCTCCTGGTCCTGCCTTGCCCGCCCTGCACTGCCGCCATGCCCTTCCACCATGCCCTTCCCTCCCCTGCTGGGGAAAGGGCAGCTGCCAGGAACACCACCCTGCATGAGCATTTGACCAGGACCTGCACTAGCCAAGGGCACCCCCGCCCCACACCCACCCTGCACTGGCCTCCCCTCGCCACACGTACCCCTCACTGACCTGTGCTCACCGCCAGGGTGACGTTGCACTGAGCACTGCCCACCTCATTGCGGGCCGTGCAGACATACACTCCAGACCTGGTAGCCGAGAGGTTGGTGAGACTTAAGGAGCCTTGAATCTCATCTGTGGGCACAGCGTAGCCATCAGGCACCCGCTTTTCCATTAAAAAAAGAAAAAGCCTGTCCTACTCTGGAACGTCCTCCCGGACTCTCCGGACAGCACACTGTTCGTGAAGGAGCTGAAAGGTGACAGCCAGCAGGTGGGCCCTGCTCCCAGGGGCAGGCCTGTGAGCCCAGCGCCCACTTCCTCTCCCGCAGCCGTGGCTGTTATGGTGCAAGGAGGACCATCGCCAGCGTGATGAGAGAGGAGGCGAGGGGCAAGGAAGCCAGGACCCGGCAGAGGCCCTCGGTAGCCCCGGGTCCCCATGTCCTCATCTGTGAACAGGGCAGCACAGCCTCCCCCAGGTGCAGAAGGTGACCCGGGCTGGTCATGACCCCCGCCACACTGCTGGCCGCTCACGCTGCACTGAACTTGAGTTCTCTGACTTACCAAAACGCCTCAGCCGGCCTGGTAAGCACCATCTTTTTTTTTTGAGAGGTTTTCGCTATAGGGCGCGTGCGCTCACCAGACAGAGAGAGACAGAGACAGAAAGCGAGAAATCACCCCCCCGGTGTGGGGGAGTCACGCTGCAATCCCTTCTCCTCCATTCTCCTCTCGGGATCTTGGGCACGCACGCACATGCGCCCGGCGTGAGTTCCAAACCACCAGGTCTGGGATGCGAACCGCGGTCGACCACGTGAGAGTCCAGTTAGCCATTACGCTAACTGCTGGTTCCTGGGATAATCACTATCTTAAAAAGGAATAAGCTTTTATTTACTTATTTATTTATTTATTTTAAAGCGGTCACATGGAAATAGAAAGAGTGGCAGAGTGAAACCCCACATATGCAGCACCCAGGTCCTGCAGGTGCTGACGTTTCCCTGCATTTATGTCATTTCGCATTTTCCGGCACATCTTAAACTACATACTTCAGCATGGAGCTCCAAAATGGCATTGTCCCACTCATGCAATGCCAGTCCCGTGCCTGACAAGTCACACTTCTCTGTGCTCCACATTTAAATGGCCCAGCTAGGGGCCAGCAGGGAGTATAGTGGTTAAAGTGCTGGACCCCACGTGGCCGACCGCAGTTTGAGTCCCAGAACCAGTGGCTTGAAAACCACGCTGGGATCATGGGCATGTGTGCCCCAAACCCCAGGAGGACAATGGAGAAGTGACTGGCATGGCCATCCCCTTCTGGGGGGGTGACTTCCATCCCCCTACCACCCAGGTCTCTGGTATGCGGCCTATAACAGACTAAAAAAGTGAAAGCCCCAGTCGTCCCTGAGTATTCTTCACAGCAGGTGTGTTCAAGTCCAGGCTACTGATGCCACTCACAGAGGAGGTGCAATGGGGGCAGAGGCACACAGAGCGCTGGGGCTTGCACCGACACAGCAGGACACCCCCAGGGCCCCCTGTCCCTCCCGCTCCCTGGCCAGTCCCCTCACCTAAAACCGGTGAGTAGAAAACCTGTTTGAACGGGGGCAGCTGCATCCACCGGTACTTGGCAGTAGGCTTACTCCTCGGGGACTGGCAGCTCAGGGTCACATTGCCACCCACATGGGGCATGCCCATGAGGTGGCAGGACGGAGGCGCTGGAGGAACTGGGAATGGGGGACAGGTTAGCCCACAACCAGTGGACTGCAGGCCTGCCACGCCTCCCACCCTGCTGCCACTCAGCGGCCCCTCCTCCAGCCCCGCGCCCCGGCAGTGCCCAGCCCTGGCTGCTGCCAGGTGGAGCAGGACCTTCAGTGGGTGCTTTGCACTCACCTAGCACGGTCAGCTCCAGGGTTTTGCTGCTGTGGGCCAAGTTGGAGCCGGCAGTGTCTCCCACATTCACGGTGCACACGTAGGAGCCAGAATCCTCCTCCCGGAGGTCCCGCAGCCGCAAGGACACATTTCGGGAAGGCATGGTGTGGGCCAGGGACACCCTCGGTTTGCGACCACGTGAGAGTCCAGTTAGCCATTACGCTAACTGCTGGTTCCTGGGATAATCACTATCTTAAAAAGGAATAAGCTTTTATTTACTTATTTATTTATTTATTTTAAAGCGGTCACATGGAAATAGAAAGAGTGGCAGAGTGAAACCCCACATATGCAGCACCCAGGTCCTGCAGGTGCTGACGTTTCCCTGCATTTATGTCATTTCGCATTTTCCGGCACATCTTAAACTACATACTTCAGCATGGAGCTCCAAAATGGCATTGTCCCACTCATGCAATGCCAGTCCCGTGCCTGACAAGTCACACTTCTCTGTGCTCCACATTTAAATGGCCCAGCTAGGGGCCAGCAGGGAGTATAGTGGTTAAAGTGCTGGACCCCACGTGGCCGACCGCAGTTTGAGTCCCAGAACCAGTGGCTTGAAAACCACGCTGGGATCATGGGCATGTGTGCCCCAAACCCCAGGAGGACAATGGAGAAGTGACTGGCATGGCCATCCCCTTCTGGGGGGGTGACTTCCATCCCCCTACCACCCAGGTCTCTGGTATGCGGCCTATAACAGACTAAAAAAGTGAAAGCCCCAGTCGTCCCTGAGTATTCTTCACAGCAGGTGTGTTCAAGTCCAGGCTACTGATGCCACTCACAGAGGAGGTGCAATGGGGGCAGAGGCACACAGAGCGCTGGGGCTTGCACCGACACAGCAGGACACCCCCAGGGCCCCCTGTCCCTCCCGCTCCCTGGCCAGTCCCCTCACCTAAAACCGGTGAGTAGAAAACCTGTTTGAACGGGGGCAGCTGCATCCACCGGTACTTGGCAGTAGGCTTACTCCTCGGGGACTGGCAGCTCAGGGTCACATTGCCACCCACATGGGGCATGCCCATGAGGTGGCAGGACGGAGGCGCTGGAGGAACTGGGAATGGGGGACAGGTTAGCCCACAACCAGTGGACTGCAGGCCTGCCACGCCTCCCACCCTGCTGCCACTCAGCGGCCCCTCCTCCAGCCCCGCGCCCCGGCAGTGCCCAGCCCTGGCTGCTGCCAGGTGGAGCAGGACCTTCAGTGGGTGCTTTGCACTCACCTAGCACGGTCAGCTCCAGGGTTTTGCTGCTGTGGGCCAAGTTGGAGCCGGCAGTGTCTCCCACATTCACGGTGCACACGTAGGAGCCAGAATCCTCCTCCCGGAGGTCCCGCAGCCGCAAGGACACATTTCGGGAAGGCATGGTGTGGGCCAGGGACACCCTCGGTTTGCTGGACACAGCCCCATTGATGTAGGCCAGCACCTGGGGGCACGTCTCCCATTACTAAGGCACCTGTCACTGCGCCCGCCCTCTGGCTGTGCCAGCTCCGTCTCTCCCGGCAGGTTCCCTGTGCTCCTCCCTCAAGTCACCAGGGCGTTTAGGAAAGGGGGCAAAACGGGGAGCAGGGGTGCTGCAAGTAAGAGGCAGAGGTGGACACGAGATGCAGGGTGGGTCGGGTTTCGTCGGGTCTGAGACATACACAGTTGGGAGAGAGGCCATCGCCAAGAAACAAAAGGATCAAAGCATCTTAAAAAGAAGACGAAATGATCTTCTGAACACATTTTCCAGGACCTTGGAAGGAGCCCCGGTATCTGAGGGGCTCAGAGAAGGGCTGCATCCTCTTCTTGGCAAAGCCGCCTGTGAGTTTGGGGTCATGGACAGGTGGAAGCCGGGACAACGCTGTCCCTGGCCTCTCAGGGTGGTGTCAAGGGCAGGCAGGCAGACAGACGATCAGGCACCGAGTGGGGGAGAAGCAGCCTGTGGCATCACAGGGCCCAAAGTACAGGCACAGAGATGGCCACCCCCCGCCCTCCAGGTCCCAGGCCTCCCCGAACCCCTCCCCCC